GGGGGGGGGGGGGGGGGGGATGACTGGCCGCGGGTAACCTATTTGTAGAGGAAGGACTCCTGGTCTATGAGGGGGTTCTCGCGAAGAGCAATTCTGCACACGCGTGTGGCGACTAGTTTGAGGATGGCATTGCGTCTAGCGAGTAGCAGTCGGTTTGTTTGGACTGCATTGCGGAGAACAAGATGTTCAGCGTTGAGACTGATGGGTATAAGGTTCATGCTAATGAGTTGTGCAAGGTCGGAGAAGACGGGCAATTTGGTCTTATCATTTTGCAGGATGGTCATTGCTTCGCTCTTGAAGACGAGAAGGAACCTGCGGAGACATTCGAAGTTGACCTCTACGACCATTTCTACCAAACCATCCGCGGCATTGCCCACGAGAGAGAGGTAACACCCCAGACCGTTTAGACACTCCAAGTGCGACTCCAGCCAGACTGCTAAGGGAACCACGTTCTGCAACTCACCCAGTTGGTCTCGCAAACATGCGAGCGCAGACATCGCCTCCCGGGGCACTGCGGTTGCGCCCGGAGTGCAAGCACCTGCCTCCACCAAAGGACTCCCCTCAACTGCAATTCCCTCAACTACGGCCCCCTCAACCGCTCTGGTCGGAAGCGTGCCTACTTCGTTGACTCCTTCGTTGGCCACACTCGTGTCTGCTGAGCTCGCGGCCTGCTCCGGGCGACTGGCAGGCGACGTCGCCGGAGAGCTAATCGCTAGCAGACACTCGCGTGTAACCGCCGGCATTTTCGCCCACGTCGCCAGCTCGCTGCGGCATTGCCTACAAGCTGACTCGTTCTTCGCCGCAAGTAAGCCGATAATCAACTTTTCGAACGTCGGAATCAACACCAGCAATGAATCCACCCCGTACAGTCTCCAGCTCACATGGCTGAGACAGCTGATGCGCTCTGTAAACTTCTGAATTAAATTCACATCTGGAACACCCGAACCGGCCAAAGGGCTAAATATATACGCTCCTTCTCCAGCACGCGACGTCTTCGCGAGGCCAGACCCACCAGTTGGAGCATTACTGCCCGAAACATTGCTAGCAGGATTGCCAGGAGCAGCGCTCGCCTGTCCGGAGGACGACGTCGCATTTTCGAAGCCGGAGATCTTTGGGTCCAGCACACTTAGTTCGCTTTCTTGGTCAACTATACTCCGTTTGGCAAAATCAATCGTTAGAAAAGTGTGTGCATACCGGTATCGAACGAAATCCTGCGAAAATTGCCTCGAGACCAAATCGAGTACCTTGTCGACTGTCGGTAAAACTTGAGCAATAAAGTCGGAGCAGAGCCTTTCAGAGAGCCTGGCGGGGTCGGCTGGATCTTCAGCCCTGGCTAGAACCTCAGCATGTCCCTGAAACACCAAGAGAGATTGCGTCACATCGTTTAGCCACCACAAAACATCATCGTAAGTTGCGGAGACAACTGCTCTCAACTCGATATCAGTGCTTGTCAGCTTTTGGAGATGGGCGTAGATTAACCATTCCCGTAAATTCTGACATCCTTTGCCAACTTCAGTATATCTAGACAACACTTCCAAACTCCTGTAAATGATGACACTTAGCTTGTACAGGATAATTCGCGGTGGGGAAGGGGAGAAGAATGGCCAACTAAGGCTTACTGTAGATAAGCCATCACGCAGTTGTTTGGTATGTCTACAATCGTTTGTAGGAGTATCATAAATGTGCACTGAATTTGGCTCATCATTTTCGCTTCGAGTTCTTTCCTATGACGGCTTACGGTCATAAGGTTGGATTGAGTTATCGCAGTCGTCGAAGATGTTTGAGTGGTGGATGATTGAGTGGTGGATGATTGAGTGGTAGGTACTATCTCCTCTATCCTGTCAATGAGGCGTCTAATTTCATCGACATCCTTCATGATGGTAGAATATCTTAAATCGTTGAAGAGTTGTTTCAATACCCGATCTGCCGAGTTCGAAACCATGCTAAGATCTGCGACAACTGGCGCCTCAGTCTCTAATGCATCCTGTAGATGTCCAATAACTGTTGACGTCTTTTCCTTCAGATCCTGCGCCCGAGCACGGTTCTTCTGTAATCGTTCCAAAGACTCAGTCAATCTCTGGTGATGAGTGACTGCTAAATAATCATATCGTTCAATACAACCACTTTTAGCACTCTCCAATTCCAACTGAAATGACGCCCATTACTGTTTGTTCACTACCTACATCACCATCCCAAACTGTCCTTACCAATTTCACGTCTAGCTCCAAGTCATTTCGAAACAGCAAGTCCGTTAAGAGCATTAAAGAAAAAAAAATCGACGAATGAATCGTGTTCAGGGAATCGCGCACTAATGGGGACGGTGCTGGACAGTGTCTTTGGCCCGCTCTAGACTGCCAGGATGGATGGCCTGTGGGCAGTCGAAGTGGCAACACCCTTCACTCTACCGTCTCGTGGGCTGTACCGTAGAATGCACCCCAGGCTACAAAGCCTTTTGGCTGCCCGAAGGCAGGTAGATGCTTGGTTAGGGAGGGTCTTGATTAATGCGAGGGTCTGGGAAAGAAGGCCACGGGTACAAGTTGTGGGTCGATTCTGCTACTGCCATTCCAGCGTCCTCCGAATGCTCGTTCTCTTGAATTGACGGAGATGAGATGCCTTATATCGGAGGTGACGTAGGTGATTTTAGAACGAAATGGTTTTTTGAGAGCGGCTTTCATGGCGTCTAGACTCCTTCGTTGGGGGAAGCTTGAATTGAAGACGTACACTTGATGTATGGAGTGTGACCACAGGGTTTGTATGTGTGACAATAGTGGGTAAAGTTTAGGTGCTAGAGACATGATGGATACATCGATAACATCTATGAGTAAATTGACTCGAGGTGCGGCAAATCGACAGGCCCAGACTATGAGTGCTGATAAGTACTCCTTTATCTGTTCTTGTATGCGTCGGTCATCTTCCGCGGCACGGGTTTGTAACAATGCCTTCAGTCTCACACATAGACATGCGTTTCCAGCACGGTCTTGGCCGCAGAGATATACACTTCGTGACTGTACCAGCGGTACCGACAATGCCTTAGAATCAATTGAATTAACCAAATCATGCTCCAGTATCTTAGACATCCAAGCTAATAAAACTGCCTTCGGATCCGCCTCGCGTGGAGCCAGTTCGCACACACTAAGAGCGCGTGCCAAATCGACATACAACCCCTTCTCTCTCTGCACCGACGTCACTGCGTTCATTACTGTACTCGTCCCTATGTTCATCATCGTACTGTTCATGCTCGGGCCAACTCCCCCGGACCCAAACGAACCTGTTCCGAACCTTCTCTCTGTTCCGAACCTTCTCTCTGTTCCGAACCTTCTGTCTGTTCCGAACCTTCTCTCTGTTCCGAACCTTCTCTCTGTTCCGAACGAACCTGTTCCAACCAACGAATCTGTTCCAACCAACGAATCTGTTCCCGACGAATCTGTTCCCAACGAACCGGCGAGCGGCGATCCATAAGGCGTTGTGGCGAACGGGAGAGAAGGAACGGGTTCACCGCGACACAAGACACCAGCGACCGGAACAAGCATTTTGCTTGCGCGTGCTTCGGCTTCGGTGCGAAAGATGGCGGGTTTGTAGAAGTTATGCACAGGCGGTTGCACGCCACCGTACGTTACTTCACATTGCTGCGGGTCCACAAACATGCTGAGTGAATGGGATAGTCGTCCAATATTCTTCAGAACTGAGGGGGCGCAACTGATCGCTCCTGTGGAGGAGGACGCTGCTTTTTCGTGCGGTGCTAACACTGTCAATGTGTGCGGGGGTGAATTAAACAAGACAATCCGATGTGGCTGTACTGCGAAGTAGATCAGTACTGTCGACAGGTTCTCTAATACCCAGTCAATGGATCCCGATTCCGCGCCCTTACAATTCAGGACCACTGTAAGTGTTTTGTCTCGAAAACTCGGCATCCAGAGGTACTCGAAATAAAAGAATAACCAGTAGGACATTACCAGTCGCAGATTGCGCCCCACATCGGCTCCCATCAGCACCCCGTCGCTACCTGCTTCGGTGCTTATTTGGGAGAAACAGTTGCTAGAGAGCCGGACGTCCAGGTAAAGCACGGGGGTCTTGTCCAGTGCATAACCTGCCAGGTAAACACAGCCTTTGGAAAGCAAGCCAGCCATGTAGTTGAATGACAGAGCGTAGTAAGCCTCCGTCGCCAACCACCGGCACGTGTCGACCAACAGTTGTGCCGCGAGCTCGACGTCGCAGCCGTTGAACTTCAGATAACGAGCCAGCAACAGACGGTGCGCATTGAAAAGCACAGGCGCTGCATGCTCAGGCAACAAAAATGGCGAGCCGAGCAACATTCGACGCACCTCCTCCTCACTCGCCAAATAATCCACCAACGACCGAATCAGGTGCTCCATTACCTCCGGCACCTCCTGTTCACATGTACAGTTGTAACTACATCCACACACTGGCATCGCGTCACCGCTCCACAATGGGTACTCGATCACATAGTGCGGTCGTAATAAACGATATGTGAACACAGTTAACGGACATAGACGCTGACCTCCCACCCACGATCGACCGCCAGAAGACCCCTCACCTACACGACTCTCTCCCTCCTCCCCCTCTTGGCTCACACTCTCCCGGCTCACACTCTCCCGGCTCACGCTGTCGTCTCGGCCACTTGATTCCGCACTGCCACGGTCCTCGTTGCAATTCGGAGCCGCTCTACCAACTCCCAACTTGTCCGGCACCAGGCCAGGACCCTCCGATACATGGCAATTAAGTACACTTATCTCCAGGTCACCGACTTTCGACTCCGGGTCTTCCACTCTCGACTCTAGATAATCCACTCTCGTCTCCGGGTCGTCCAACTTGCGCCCCCCTGCCGGGGGTTCCGTAGCCGGCTCTCCGGTCCAGTCTTCCCCGTCCTGAGTCGAAGGCGTATTGTGCTCGTCGGCCACCTCCGCCTGGTCCACCACAACATAGCCTTTGCGGTCGCCCTCTGGGATGTCCACAGCCGCCAGATCGGCGACTCGAACAGCCGGATCCGCTGCAGCCGCCGGATCGGCGGTTGGAGCAGCGGAATCGTCAACAGAATCAGCCGGGTCGCCGCCTGGAGATACGGAAACGCTTGGAACAGCCGGATGAGACTCCGGCGGACCGCTGTGGGGGTCGGCTGCAGTACTGGGGGTCTGGGACGGGGCACTGATTGAGTCGACCGGCTCTAAGACGGAGCACTGATCCAGTCGCTCTTGCTGTGTTGTGTCTGGCGACCTTTCCGCAATCTCAGTGGCACGTTGTGCGAAGGCCGATTCTTTGTACTTCCGAGCGAGCTCCGCCAAAGGACTCTGTCGTGGCTCGAATGCAGAGCGCCCTCGCTGTTGTTCCCAGGCCTGTTGGGGCGAGATGTAGTTCATGGGGGAAGCAGGGGGGGGCGGGAAACCAGACGGTTGGAAGCCGGAGGTTTGGAAGCCGGAGGTTTGGAAGCCGGATGGTTGGAAGCCGGTTGGTAGGAAGGCGGACGTCGTTTGATCGGCGCCGGGTAGGGCGGCGGATCCGACGACTACGGGTGGCCCTTGGTAGCGGCTATCTCGTTGGGCTTCGGCAAAGGGATCGGTGCTTTTGGAGACGACGGCGGCGGGTCGTGTGTCAGTGTTGGGTCGGTCGGTTGTTCCGGGTCGGCGAGTGCCCGTGGCGTCATCTTGCGAGTCTTCATCTTCGTCCAGGAAGTCATCGAAGCTTTCGAAGGAACTGGCCATTTGGCGCAGGTGTTCGAGGAGTGGGACGCCTGTCGAAATGTACGTAGCGGGGTCGGCGGCCTCGGCTGGGCCGAAGGTTGGGGTGCCATTGCCGTCGCCGCTGGGACTGGAGTCAGCCCCATGCCCCGCCGGGTTAGGACCGGCGGGGTTAGAACCGGCAGCCCCTGGTCCGGCAGCCCCTGGTCCGGCAGAAGCGGTGGGTCCGGAGAAGCCTTTGGGCATAATGAAAAATGTTTTCTGGTTGGCTGTGGTCTGCCGCGGACCGGCGATTGCGAAGTGACGCGTTAGAGGCGATCGGTTTCCACGTGGTATGTCGAGGGAAGTGTACCCGGCGGAAGTATCCGGTATTTCAGGATTGGCTTCAATTGCCGGAACAACCAGTAGTGACCCTGTCTCCGTCATTTATTTCAGATGTTGACGCTGCCTATCAATTTGTCGGTCCAAGTACATCAACCTGGCTACAATCAAAGCCCCCTTCCGAGTTCCAAGATCATGATGTTCTCAATTTCATGGACGACCTCCTTCAGGCCACCTGCGCCACAGACCAAACAAGTGTTCATACACTAGCCGTAACCGCGGCCGTCCTCACTGCTGTTATCGCCGTCATAGTACACGATTGGGCTTGTGGCTACAAAAACCCGTCAGCTGGAAGCTCCTTAAACAAATATGGCTACTTATGCACGAACAAATCAGACTTTGTGACGTCAACCAGGTCATCCTCAACCCACGCACTTGAGGAGAAACTTGTGTTCGACGTAACATACCCGTGCTATGCATACCCGTCCTTGAGCGTATGCATACCCGTCCTTGCGCGTATGCATACCCGTCCTTTTTCAATCGAATACAGTTGGCTGTTTGGGTCTAACCTCCTAAACAAGAGTCATGCCGCTGTCAATGAGGCCATACCATACCCGGCCATCTGGTGCTGAGAAGCACCCTGGAACATCTGTCACCCACTTAATGGGAGCGGTTGTCTGCGACAGAGAGGTAAGACAGCCAGCCGTTGGGGTACATGCTTATTAGCTAATGTCGGGGACCTTTGCCGGGAATGGAATCTATATTATTTTCGATAAATTTATTAGATTATGAGGACTGTGAAAGGACAAGGAGTCGCTAGAGTCGGAAGCACAGACCTCTTATCGGTGGCGATCATTCCAGCATGTGGGTCTGAGGTCGTGATGGACGGTACGGAGCAAAGTATGTCGCTGCTCCTAGAATGCGGGCTGGCTACTCCGACATACACCGTCTTCAGTGCAGAGACCGGCGTATTGAGGATGAAGCCCGGTACAGCCCTGTACAATGAACTGGGGACGTGGTTAACTCGTCTTACCGACGAAGAGCGGTATCCAGGACGCAACGAAAACAGTCCCATTCGAGACAGATATGCTGGCATCCAGGACAGCGAAGGCAATCCTTTAATGAGTATTACTCCGATAGTCAGACCTTGCGATGCCGTCTATGTCCTTACCTTCAAAAAAGACCAGGACTCGTCCAGCCCGAACTCTTGCAAGCATAAATTAGAAGAGCGGCAGACACGTGAATGGGACCATGAAGAATCGTGCTACATCGGGCGAACACAATTTTGAACTGTAAGTTGTTGCTCACCCATCGCCCATGACTTTACCAGGCGGGCCCATGACTTTACCAGGCGGGCCCATGACTTTACCAGACGGGCCCATGACTTCAGGCTCCGAGACGAATTTTAATTTCGCAATCAGGATGGCCCGTTCTGCGAATCTGCTGGAAACGGTTGCGCGAGCACGGAGATGTTCTTGGGGCTGGTTATCATTGGGACGCAGAAGCCTAGCGTGCTGATGAGCCGCCCGAATTTGCCACTGTTGATGCAATGCGGACGGGTGCAGGATAAATGCATCCGGATCGAGAACGTCCCGAGCCAAGGAGAGTGGGCCACGCAGGAGTCGGAAGAAGTCGGCGTTCCCCATTGGTCGGAGCTGCCTTGTTACAGAGCGGACAGGTCATTGTGGCTTGACGTATCTCCGTCGAGCGAGGTCGCTACCAAGCTCGAAGAATGGCTGCAGTCGGCTACCGAGGAGCCGGTGGATTGCACTCAGTACCCTACTGAGTATCCGGAGGTATTCGGCAGCACTGGTACTCCAAACGAGATGCT